ATAAGGAACACTGTAACAGCTTATCCTGGATTATTAAGCCTTCAAGATTATTAATCCCAAGAAGATTTTCTTGTACAACATATGTTGCTTTAAGTGTTCCCTGTGAACTCTGTGTACTTATAACCTCCATAAAGCGCAGGAAGAACCTCATTACCTGGCTCTCCTAACCGCAACTACACGCACTCACGCTCCGTAGTTTTTTTATTCGTCAGGAAACAGGACAGGTTTTAAAACTAAGAAAAAAAGGGATCAATACACCGTAGTTTCCTGACGTTCAATTGTCAAAAGTAAGTCACTGCTGACTAGGTGGAGTAGGTGTGACTAGGTGAACACTCACGGCTTCGTTATAACAAGATTGTCAACAAACCAGGGAACTGGTGGGGCTTACCCACTGGTCTGGTGTTCCAGGACTCACTTATCAAGGGTTCACTCTCTGCCAGTTCCGTGGATTGTAAGTGGGGATAAAAAACACTGGATAAGTAAAGTATTTTGTGACCTTTAACACTAGTGTATTTACACTAGTGGGTGTATTTATACTAGTGGGTGTATTTACACTAGTGGGTGTATTTACACTAGTGGGTGTATTTACACTAGTGGGTGTATTTACACTAGTGAGTGTATTTACACTAGTGAGTGTATTTACACTAGTGAGTGTATTTACACTAGTGAGTGTATTTACACTAGTGAGTGTATTTATACTAGTGGGTGTATTTACACTAGTGGGTGTATTTACACTAGTGGGTGTATTTACACTAGTGGGTGTATTTACACTAGTGAGTGTATTTACACTAGTGGGTGTATTTACACTAGTGAGTGTATTTACACTAGTGAGTGTATTTACACTAGTGAGTGTATTTACACTAGTGGGTGTATTTACACTAGTGGGTGTATTTACACTAGTGGTGTATTTACACTAGTGGTGTATTTACACTAGTGGTGTATTTACACTAGTGGGTGTATTTACACTAATGGGTGTATTTACACTAGTGGGTGTATTTACACTAGTGAGTGTATTTACACTACTGGTGCAGGTCACGTGATGAAGAGTGCCTCTACTGGTCCAGGTCACATGGCGAAGAGTGCCTCTACTGGTCCAGTTCACGTGATGAAGAGTGCCTCTACTGGTCCAGTTCACGTGATGCAGAGTACCTCAGTGCCTCTACTGGTCCAGGTCACGTGATGAAGAGTGCCTCTACTGGTCCAGGTCACGTGATGAAGACTTCCTCTACTGGTCCAGTTCACATGAAGAGTGCCTCTACTGGTCCAGGTCACATGATGCAGAGTGCCTCTACTGGTCCAGGTCACGTGATGAGTGCCTCTACTGGTCCAGGTCACGTATTAAGTTTGCTGCTCCTGGAACAATTCAGAGGATGATTGTAGCTACTGGTGCAGTTCACGAGGTGAATTTACAGTTACGTGAAGAATGTACAGCTACTGGACCAGTTCACGTGATGACTCAAATATTTGTTGTGTGGAAGTCATCAAAGGAAGTCGTGGTGCTGTTTATATGTCTTCGTCAATAAACCTCCATGACACAATAACCGGAGTATAGAGAGCTGCCTCTATAACCGGAGTACAAAGAGCTGCTTCTGTAACCGGAGCATATAGAGCTGCCTCTATAACAAGCATTACGCAATGAAGCGTAGAGTGGGGAAGCGCTAAGCCGGCATGAGTCATGCAGTTCCTGGGAAATGGATGGCAGATTAAATCCGAGAAAGGCAATACAAACAGCAATTCCTCAGATCAAGACCCCGTGGGTTTTATATCCTCCCCAAGAATGTCACCCACAGATGACTAACACAACTATCTATATACTGCTAGGATGCTTCCCATAACAGTCAAGTTGTATCCAGGTAACTAATTACTATAAGACAAATAGGGATAGTAGGTGTCAGGAGACTTGCCCAAAAGTTTGGATACACCGAGGATCCAACCCGTGACCTTTGAGTTGTGAAAAGAACCCTCGATAACCGAACACAGTATTAGCTACACCTGGCAAAACACCAGTAAAGTTTGAGAAAGTTCAGTGGCATGAGGCTCTCAGTAGCCTCATGGTAGCTATTAGACTCTCAGTAGCCTCAGTGTAGCTACTAGGCTCTCAGCAGCCTCAATGTAGCTACTAGGCTCTCAGTAGCCTCAATGTAGCTACTAGACTCTCAGTAGCCTCAAGGTAGCTATGCTCTTAGTAGCCTCAAGGTAGCTACTAGGCTCTCAGTAGCCTCAAGGTAGCTACTAGTCTCTCAGTAGCCTCAAGGTAGCTATGCTCTCAGTAGCCTCAAGGTAGCTACTAGGCTCTCAGTAGCCTCAAGGTAGCTACTAGGCTCTCAGTAGCGTCAAGGTAGCTACTAGGCTCTCAGTCTCAAGGTAGTTATTACGTTCTCAGTAACCTCAAGGTAGTTACTAGGCTCTCAGTAACCTCAAAGTAGCTACTAGGCTCTCAGTAGCCTCAAGGTAGCTACTAGGCTCTCAGAAGCCTCAAGGTAGCTACTAGGCTCTCAGTAGCCTCAAGGTAGCTACTAGGCTCTCAGTAGCCTCAAGGTAGCTACTAGGTTCTCAGTAGCCTCAAGGTAGCTACTAGGCTCTCAGCCTCAAGATAGCTACTAGGCTCTCAGTAGCCTCAAGATAGCTACTAGGCTCTCGGTAGCCTCAAGATAGCTACTAGGCTCTCAGTAGCCTCAAGATAGCTACTAGGCTCTCAGTAGCCTCAAGATAGCTACTAGGCTCTCAGTAGCCTCAAGATAGCTACTAGGCTCTCAGTAGCCTCAAGATTGCTACTAGGCTCTCAGTAGCCTCAAGGTAGCTACTAGGCTCTCAGTAGCCTTAAGGTAGCTTCTAGGGTCTCAGTAGCTTCAAGGTAGGTACTAGGCTCTCAGTAGCATCAAGGTAGCTACTAGGCTCTCAGTAGCCTCAACGTAGCTACTAGGCTCTCAGTAGCCTCAACGTAGCTACTAGGCTCTCAGTAGCCTCAACGTAGCTACTAGGCTCTCAGTAGCCTCAACGTAGCTACTAGGCTCTCAGTAGCCTCAACGTAGCTACTAGGCTCTCAGTAGCCTCAACGTAGCTACTAGGCTCTCAGTAGCCTCAACGTAGCTACTAGGCTCTCAGTAGCCTCAACGTAGCTACTAAGCTCTCAGTAGCCTCAACGTAGCTACTAGGCTCTCAGTAGCCTCAACGTAGCTACTAGGCTCTCAGTAGCCTCAACGTAGCTACTAGGCTCTCAGTAGCCTCAACGTAGCTACTAGGCTCTCAGTAGCCTCAACGTAGCTACTAGGCTCTCAGTAGCCTCAACGTAGCTACTAGGCTCTCAGTAGCCTCAACGTAGCTACTAGGCTCTCAGTAGCCTCAACGTAGCTACTAGGCTCTCAGTAGCCTCAACGTAGCTACTAGGCTCTCAGTAGCCTCAACGTAGCTACTAGGCTCTCAGTAGCCTCAACGTAGCTACTAGGCTCTCAGTAGCCTCAACGTAGCTACTAGGCTCTCAGTAGCCTCAACGTAGCTACTAGGCTCTCAGTAGCCTCAACGTAGCTACTAGGCTCTCATAGCCTCAAGTAGCACTGGCTCTCAGTACCTTAAGGTAGCTTCTAGGTTCAGTAGCGTCAAGGTAGCTATAGCTCTCATAGCCTCAACGTAGCTACTGCTCTCATAGCCTCAACGTAGCTACTAGCTCTCATACCTCAACGTAGCTACTAGGCTCTCAGTAGCCTCAACGTAGCTACTAGGCTCTCAGTAGCCTCAACGTAGCTACTAGGCTCTCAGTAGCCTCAAGGTAGCTACTGGGCTCTCAGTAGCCTTAAGGTAGCTTCTAGGGTCTCAGTAGCCTCAAGGTAGCTACTAGGCTCTTAGTAGCGTCAAGGTAGCTACTAGGCTCTCAGTAGCCTCAACGTAGCTACTAGGCTCTCAGAAGCCTCAACGTAGCTACTAGGCTCTCAGTATTGTGAACTAGACACACACTGAAGGAATGAGGAACCAGAGAAATTATGATGAAGACAGGGAAAATATTACCTGATAAAGATTCGGTGACGAGATAAGAATAGAATCACAAGGAATATCTTCTTACCTACCTAATTACTTTCTACGTACCATACTTATGCAGATACCTATCTACCTTACTTATGCAGATACGTACCTACCTGCCTATTTACCTACATACCTGTTTTCCTACCTACCTAGCTGTAAATGACAATAATGGTCATGGACGCCGTGAATCGGCCGCAGACTAGGCCTCCTAATTGATGGCCTCACCAGTCCTGGGCACCTGCATGAGCGCGTGTACAAATGAACGCACACCCACACTCCCGCTGACTCACCCATCCATCTATCCGGGTGGAGATCGAACCTATGACAAGCAAGTGTTAAAATTCACAATCTGGAACAGTGGTAAGAGTGAATGGGAGAGTGCAGAAACCCGGGAGTGAGGCGGATAAATGAGTGAGACGCGGTAAATGTTGCAGGAAGGCAGCCATGAAGGTAACTGCGTTAAGGCGCATCTTGTACCTGATCTACACAAGAGGGTGCAAAATTCTGCACGAAGCAAAAGTGCGCTCTGGGGATGAGTATGCTCCACTCTCTAGGACGGCCTGACTGCGTCTCATATACGACAGAATAGAGAACCGAGCAACAAGACTGATCTCTCGCCTGGACCCGGCCTGGACAGATCTGTCAGTCCAGCAGAGCCTTCAGCACCGGAGACGTGTGGCAGCTACACTCTGGGTGTAATCTTAACAATATCACTTCACTGACATAATTCTTCCCTAGAATGATTCGAGTCAGAAACATAATCGTACAGCATAACAACGTCGATGAAATAATTTGTCCAAATAAAATTGCTAGGTAACAAACAGCTCTTATCTTGTAAATAACGACAGGCACTCAAACTAACCCTGTAAAAATACTTGTGTAAACAGTGAGAGAGAGAGAGAGAGAGAGAGAGAGAGAGAGAGAGAGAGAGAGAGAGAGATTGAAGTACAATATAATCATATCCTATTTCCTGTATTCAACAGATGTTTGGCCACGCAGTAACTTGCCTTCTTCTGGTCAGTTTCACACTAGCCCAGACTGCACTGCTGGTCTGGGGAGAGACCCCACAGGAACAAGAACTTAAGGAGACTAAGAACTTGACCATTGAGAGGGTAATGAAAACGGTAACGAGCACGGTATATCACACAGTAAAGGTGTATCCTACATGTACCACCACTGTGGCAGGTGTATCAGCGTGTATCCCAGGTGATGTTGACCCCAACATCCTCTCTCTTCTCAAGTCATCACAAAGTGCTTCCCATTCTCGGTGAGTATTACTTATATATATAATATATATATATATATATATATATATATATATATATATATATATATATATATATATATATATATATATATATATATATGTAATGTATTCAGTGTCCTCTGTGAACGTCAGTTCCTCGGCTCAGAAATTTCTCTTCACAATTCGTTGTCTCGTCTTGGCTACACTTTCCATTTCATAAACTCTGTCTTCTCAGAGGCTAACTGTGAAGGCTTACTCAGCCCTGTAACAACTTCAGACAGCATTACCAAGGCTGGCTCCTCCTCAGGAAAATTAATGAATAGAATAAGAAATAATAATTCACAAAGATAAACACTTTATTATCTAGTAATACAAAGATAAAACAGTGAAGCATGAAGGTGCATCCTATTTGAAAGAAAAATGAAAAATGAAATGAAAAAATGACATTTGAATTCAACGCTAATATGTACAGTTATAATGGGGTGTCTGGTGGAGGTTGACACCATCATTGTAGCCGTTACTGATGATGGGGGGGGGGGTCACAGGTGTTGGTGACAACCCAACGACTAGTTCTTCACAGAGTCTATAACCTTAAACAGTCAGTCCAGATGACAGGAAAGCAGGTTCTTTACCACTACAAAGATGAGGGGTTGTTGTCTGCTGTCACCTACAGTTAATCAAGTAGGTAGATCCAAAAAGTGACGTCTCTGGACTTTTGCAAAAGTCCTTCTCCTTCAACAATTCTCGTTGGTTGGCAGGTGACCCGATCTGTCATTCCAAGCTGGAAAGAGAGACAGGTTACCCACTGCTTAAAAAATTAAAACTGAAAGGACCAAGTTTATTATTGGTCAAAAGTGAAGCTTTCAACCAACATCCACAAGAATAAAAGCAGAGGTTTTTACTTACAGTTGTGCTGGGAGCTGTGAGTCGAGTGATTACTGTTTGGCTGGAGCCCCACACGTCACCTTTCGGGGTGGGGGGAGAGGTGGGGGGGGATAGCGGGAGCTAGACTGACCCTACCTTAACAAGCAGCCAGCAATCAAACTATCATTACCATATACTCGCTCGCTACTCCTATCTGTTGAACTTTTCCCTCACACTAACCGGGCTGTCTTCTCTCCCAAACTCTACTCCAGTGAAAACTACTGTTTCTTCCACATATTTCCAGTGGTGACAGGACAATTGCTTCCCGGTCAAATGCATCCTGGTAGGCAAAGCTCTCGCTTCACATACTGAGTGTCCGGCTTCAATTCCCGGCAAAGGTAAAAACATTGGGCATGTTTCCTTACACCTGTTGTCCCTATTCACCCATCAGTAAAATGGGTACCTAGGTGTTAGTGGACTGGTGTGGGTCGCATCCTGGGACACAATTGACCTAATTTGTGGGAAATGCTCAGCATAACAAGCAGCTTTCTATTTTGTTTATTTTTTATTAATACATTGGCCGAGACCCACCAAGGCAGGGTGGCCCACCAAGGCAGGGTGGCCCGAAAAAGAAAAACTTTCACCATCATTCACTCCATCACTGTCTTACCAGAGGGGTGCTTTACACTATAGTTATAAAACTGCAACATTAACACCCCTCCTTCAGAGTGCAGACACTGTACTTCCCATCTCCAGGACTCAAGTCTGGCCTGCCGGTTTCACTGAATCCTTTCATAAATGTTACTTTGCTCACACTCCAACAGCACGTCAAGTGTTAAAAACCATTTGTCTCCATTCACTATCAAATACGCGCACGCATGCTTGCTGGAAGTCCAAACCTCATCGCACACAAAACCTTCTTTACCCCCTCCCTCCAACCTTTCCTAGGCCGACCCCTACCCCGCCTTCCTTCCACTACAGATTGATACACTCTCGAAGTCATTATGCTTCGTTCCATTCTCTCTACATGTCCGAACCACCTCAACAACCCCTCCTCAGCCCTCTGGATAATAGTTTTGGTAATCCTGCACCTCCTCCTAACTTTCAAACTACGAATTTTCTGCATTATATTCACACTACACATTGCCCTCAGACATGACATCTCCACTGCCTCCAGCCTTCTCCTCACTGCAACATTCATCACACATGGTTCACACCCATACAAGAGTGTTGGTAGAACTATACTCTCATACATTCCCCTCTTTGCTTCCACAGACAAAGTTCTTTGTCTCCACAGACTCCTAAATGCACCGCTTACACGTCCACTCCTAAATATCTGAATACATTCACCTTTTCCATACTCTCTCCATCCAATCTAATATCCAATCTTACATCACCTAATATTTTTATCCTCATAACCTTACTCTTTACTATATGTATTCACTTTTAATTTTCTTCTTTTACATACCCTACTAAATTCATCCACCAACCTCTGCAACTTCTCTTCCGAATCTCCCAAAAGCAGTGTCATCAGCAAAGAGCAACTGTGACAACTCCCACTTCATGTTCGACTCTATCTTTTAACTCCACACCTTTTGCTAAGACACTCGCATTTACTTCTCTTACAACCCCATCTATAAATATATTGAACAACCATGGTGACATCACACATCCTTGTCTAAGGCCTACTTTTACTGGGAAATAATCTCCCTACATACTGAAACTTGAGCCTCACTATCCTGCAACATCTGCCACATTGCCCCCCTATCCACCCTATCACATGCCTTTTCCAAATCCATAAATGCCACAAAAGCCTTTTTAGCCTTATCTAAATACTGTTCACTTATATGTTTCACTGTGAACACTTCGTCTACACACTCCCTACCTTTCCTAAAGCCTCCTTGTTCAACTGCTATCCTACTCTGTCTTACTGTTAATTCTTTCAATTACACCTCTAAAATACACTTTACCAGGTATACTCAACAGACTTATTCCCCTATAATTTTTGCACTCTCTTTTATCCCCTTTGCCTTTATACAAAGGAACTATGCATGCTCTCTACCAATCCCTAGGTATCTTACCCTCTTCCATACATTTATTAAATAACAGCAACCACTCCAAAACTATATCCCCACCAGCTTTTAACATTTCTATCTTTATCCCATCAATCCCGCTGCCTTACCCCCTTTCATTTTACCTACTGCCTCACGAACTTCCCCCACACTCACAACTGGCTCTTCCTCACTCCTACAAGATGTTATTCCTCCTTGCCCTATACACGAAATCACAGCTTCCCTATCTTCATCAACATTTAACAATTCCTCAAAATATTCCCTCCATCTTCCCAATACCTCTAACTCTCCATTTAATAACTCTCCTCTCCTATTTTTAACTGACAAATCCATTTGTTCCCTAGACTTCCTTAACTTATTAATCTCACTCCAAAACTTTTTCTTATTTTCAACAAAATTTGTTGATAACATCTCACCCACTCTCATTTGCTCTCTTTTTACATTGCTTCACCACTCTCTTAACCTCTCTTTTTCTGCATCACTTCTACTTTGTAAAAACCTCTCACATGCTAACTTTTTCTCCCTTACATCATCCCACCAATCGCTCCTCTTCCCCCCCGCACGCCACTTTCCTGTAACCACAAACTTCTGCTGAACACTAACACTACATTTTTAAATCTGCCCCATACACAAGAACATAAGAAAGGAGGAACACTGCAGCAGGCCTGTTGGCCCATACTAGGCAGGTCCTATACAATCCATCCCACTAACAAAACATTTGCCCAACCCAATTTTCAATGCTACCCAAGAAATAATCTCTGATATAACTATCCACTCATTTGCAAGTCCCAATCAAATCCAACCCCTCTCACTCATATATTTATCCAACCTAAATTTGAAACTACCTAAAGTCCTAGCCTCAATAACCCAACTAGGTAGACTGTTCTACTCATCAACTACCCTATTTCCAAACTACCCTATTTCCTTTCTAAATCTAAACTTGTCTAATTTAAATACATTACTGCGGGTTCTCTCTTGGAGAGATATCCCCAAGACCTTATTAATATCCCCTTTATTAATACCCATCTTCCACTTATACACTTACCTGGAGTTTACCTGGAGAGAGTTCCGGGGGTCAACGCCCCCGCGGCCCGGTCTGTGACCAGGCCTCCTTAGGTCAGTGTCCCAGGATGCGACCCACACCAGTCGACTAACACCCAGGTGCCCATTTTACTGATGGGGAACATAGACAACAGGTGGAAAGAAACACGTCCAATGTTTCTACTCTGGCTGGGAATCGAACCCAGGCCCTCACCGTGTGAAGCGAGAGCGTTAACCACCAGGCCACCAGAGCCCAGGCCACCAGAGTCAGGTCTCCCCTCATTCTTCGTCTAACAAGTGAATGTAATTTAAGAGTCTTCAATCTTTCTTCATAAGGAAGATTTCTAATGCTATGTATTAATTTAGTCATCCTACGCTGAATGTTTTCTAACGAATTTATGTCCATTCTGTAATATGGAGACCAGAACTGAGCTGCATAATCTAGGTGAGGCCTTACTAATGATGTATAAAGCTGCAGTATGACCTCTGGACTTATGTTGCTTACACTTCTTGATATAAATCCCAATAATCTATTACCCTTATTATGTACGCTTAGGCATTGCTGTCTTGGTTTAAGGTTGCTGCTCACCATAACCCCCAAGTCCTTTTCGCAATCTGTATGGCTAAGTTCTACATTATTTAACTTACAAGTGCTAGGGATATGGACACTCCCGAGCTTCAGAACCTTGCATTTATCTACATTCAACTGCATCTGCCACTTTTCTGACAAAGAATAGAATTTGTCTAAATCCTCCTGAAGTTCCCTAACGTCTACGTTTGAATCAATTATCCTACCTATCTTTGTGTCATCGGCGAATTTGCTCATATCACTAGTAATACCCTCATCAAGGCCATTGATATACATTATAAACAACAACGGGCCTAAGACTGATCCCTGTGGTACGCCACTTGTTACAGATCCCCACTCGGATTTAACCCCATTTATGGACACTCTCTGCTTCCTGTCTGTGAGCCATGACTCGATCCACGAGAGCACTTTTCCCCCAATGCCATGAGCTGCCACTTTCTTTAACAGTCTTTGGT